CGCACTTTGAAAGCGGACAATTGGTGTAGGCGTCCATGGTGCAGTAATTTACTCGGAAGTGTTCAGGCATGTACACAATGATGCACAAACAGTGACACGCACTAGGAAGCTGAAGCGATTATGCTTTTTTACGACAAAATTTGCGGGTTTACAATGGCGGCATGCAACAAAACACAGTCGCCACAATCGTTTTTTGACCTGTTTTCTGAATGATAAAATTGGTTGATCGCGGATAAAGATTTGGGATATTGTATTGCATATGCAGCGGGACAGGTGTGAGCAAGGCCAAACTTGCATGTTTGTATTTGAGAAAATAGGCACACAAGAAAGGCGGTACTGCGATCCATATATGTCGAGAACTAAGGCCACCAGCATACAGTTTTCTGGCCTTTCCAGTCCGCTGAGTTATGAAGATAGACAGGTACTCAGTTATAAAACTGTCTGTAATGTGTTTTTTTTACCAATAATATGTGTGAAAATTCATAAAAGGAAAAGAACGACCGGCATGATGTAACCTGTCTTCCCCGAGCAATCAATGTTAAGAATATTGAAGACGATTCTAGAACATCTATCCCGCATCCTCCGTCTTTGTGACACAATATAATAGATATTAGTGCGGATTTTTGTATGAGTTATGAGGCTACTGTTTAAACGAATTTTAGTTTTGGGCTTAAAGAAGTTGATAAGAGGTTGAGCGGAATTACGACGGAGCTGCGACATTTTTTGTTGCCCCCGATACTACACCAAAGTAGTTCGCCAATATTTCGTCAGGATATTCCGCCAAAAACCAAATCCCACTCGGCGAAACTGTAGAGAAATATTTCTTTGTTAAACTGTCTGGTTTATAGTTAAAAGTTCTAATAAACCGTGGTTCTGCATAACAACAATCAGTAAAAAGCAGGGCAATAAATTATGAGTTATAATATGTCTAAAATTAGATAAAAAGAGCACATAAAGATTTATGTATGAAAAAAGTACTCTTTGTATGAAAGGTAATAGTGAAGAAAAATTAACCGGCTAAAGGGGATTTTTCGATCCGCGAATTTGTTTTACATTCCTATTGGCCAACATAACTGAACTTCGTCAGTATGATGATTGTAGTCTTTAATCATTTTGAGTTAAGCAAATTATAGATGAAAAGAAAAAGAAACAAATATGGAATTTTTCAGAGCGATTAATTTAAATATATGTGAAAAATCATAGAAAGAAGTGCGCTTTGTTTTGGTGAAATATGTATATTTATATGTCAAGTAAATATTGGAAATGTAAAATGCCATTGGATTTGCCGGATCTCTAATCTCACTGCTACGGGTGTAAGCGTACAACGAGAAAAAGCGTGCAGGATGAAGGGTTGCAAAAGGAAGCATGACTTGACTATCAGCGATGTGTCACTCAGTAGCAATAAGAAAGCGTTGGAGTTCGCTACAATTTGGGGTGCAATTGCCGGTGTTGGATCTTCGACATTATTACTACCACGGATCTCAGAATTCTCAACCTTATTGCTTAGCCGTTTAAATATAATTGTTTGTTCACTTCGTGTTCGTAATTTTGTTTGTTTTCAGTTTCAAACTTCAGGAAGTTGCATTTTTCCTGTTAGGATATTGTAAATCTGAGCGATAATTTACGGTAAAAAATCCACTAACATTTTCTCATACATCAAATTTCGGGGACTGCGGTGACAATGTTCTTTTTAAGACAATAAAATTCGGCCACAAGCCCTTTTTGAATGAATCTTTGAATTTCGAGAAATTCGGGAAATTTAATTTGATCTATGTAGACTATCTTTCCAACTAAAATGTATGGTTCGACTTCACACTTCATATAAGTTGGATTGTGGTCATCGTCTTGTTCGAAGAGTAGTCATCGTTCGGGAACGGAGTGACATTTTTCACTTACCACTATCATTGCTATCCTGCGACACAAACCTTTAATGCAGCGAATGATTAATTAACTAAATCAATGGGAAAATAACCGGCCAATGCAACTTCTAATTAATTTGATGAGGATTAGAAGGAAAGGGCCATTCTTTATGACCAATATACTTTCGGGAACAAAGCATATATGCTATAAATGCGGGGGCACCAAGCGAAGGTAGACGATTTCGGTAAAACAAAACCCGCCGTTGCAACGGTTTGTGCGTGAACGATCTTCAGTGGCAATGCGACTTTATAGAAATGTTTTAAATGATATTTTTTGAATATTAACTGAACTTTTAGCAATTTATATTCCGTACTCAACGTTCTTTCTGCACATCCAATGCTATGTTCCTATTCACAAATGCGATGCATCTTCCTCCCTCTCTTAGTTGAGATTAATTTTTTTTAATGATATTCTGCAATTTCCACTTCCCCAAATTAAATTTAATAAATCCAAAGAAAAAATACTCATTTATCTAATCTCACCTTGTATATGCTTGAATTCCGCACTTATAATTCTGGCAAAATTTCCAATCCTTAGAAAAAAGACGGAACGCGTTATCTCTGTCTCCTCAGTCCTATAGAGTCTGTATGTATGTATGACATGTTTGTGTGTGTGTGTGTTTTCCCATATCTGTCCAGATATTTCAATCTAGCATCGAGAGCAGGTAGAAAGTTGAATTTTTACGGCGATTTTTTCTGGTAAAGACTAGCCTCTCCAACTCGAAATCAACTTTTGCGTATACCTAATACGTTCGAGCACTTGAAAGTTTTAGCAGGAAATTTTCTGCCTCGAAAACTAAACAAGTTAGAGCAATGAGACTTCAGGGGATAATTTCCATCATGCGCAGCTCCGAAATCTAAATCCAGCTTCCACACACGCTTATACCTCACGTATAGGCGCGTAATATTTCAAGCAGGAAATTATTCGCACTATTCTAACTCGGGAATCAGAAAAAGCAGAAAACTAAATCTTCAGGAATATGTTTTTTGTCCATGCGCGACCCTGGAAATTTAAATTCAACTGTCACTTGCGCTGAGGCCTAGAGCGCGACATGTTGCTGACAGCTGTTGGCATCCTTCAAAGAACTACGCAAAACGCGTGGTCACACCGGCTAGCTGGTGAGCGTCACTATTTCTTAATTTTACTTAACAAAACCTTGAGCTGTTTTCGTTCTGTTTTGCTTTTGTGCATTGAAATTGAGGCTTATCAGCTTAATTTATGATATTCTAGTCTCTCTCCCTAAGTAAAAAATTGCCTGTTGCCCTTGTCATTTGAGCACAAAAGTGAAAAAGAATAATGAAATGAGAGAGGAGGTCGCGAGATAATTGTCATGATAATAATAATCGTGATAGTGATAACAACAAATGATATCCAGACAAACGCAGTCAACAACTGCTATTTTGAAGATTATGAAATGCTGCGGAGAAAGTGTAATAAAATACAAGCAGTTTGAGCAGCCAGTACTGCAACATAAAATACACTGCTGGGGTATTAAAAGCTGAACAAAAAACCATGGAAAATGAACCCAGGATCCAGAGTCCATGCAAACATTTCATCTTTGAAAACTTCAATGACGGGAGGATTCCTGACCGAGCCCATCGCAACGTTCACCCAGTTCAACCATGCAATAATCTTGTTGTTCGCCTTCCCATTCTCGACTCCGAATTCGCCCAAGTTCCACAGCTTCCTCCTTTTTCTAAACTCGCCCCTTTTATTCCTCGAAGCATACACTGATACGCAGCAAAAGTGAAAAGATTATAATGAAAGTTAAAAACCTTTTCCATGACTCACTCTCTATGAGGGAGTGGAAGCAAACATGAAAAATTTGAAAAAATGCAGCATTGAAAAGCAATGAAGCATAACAGTCAAAGAAAGAATCATGTGTGTTAAGTTACACTTTGCTTGCATTTTTCCTTTTTCTAGACTAAAATTCACGAATATCGTAAGCTCAAAAATATATTCGCAAATCACAAAAGAATACGGAGAAAGTGAATCTGAAAAATGGGTTGCAGGTGTTCTTCCAAAATTCGCGAAGAATTCACAAATTTTGTTTTTCCTACGAGCAGCTGTGCTGCAGCAACTAAACACTGAGATATGCGCTTTAGAAATCAAATAAAGCCAAGTGGCCTTGTGAGATCGAAATGTGAATCGAACAAAGTGTCAGCTAGTTCCCTACTGATTGCGTAAATCCCTAACTGGTAAATCCTTTCAACGTTTTTGTGTCAAGGACATGAAAACGCTCGAGATTTATCGCAATTTACAGTTTAATTGCTCGTTTATAAATTAGCGGAGCGCAACGGAAAGCAGCCGCAGTCATATCTTTTCGAGGCATTCCGTTGTGAAAAACACGGAATTTTTGCTGCCTCGCTACGGTGTTTGTAGACCTTTTCGTCGGGAGATAATATGCAGTTTAGATACGAATAACTGGCCAGTACACCGACTGTCGGAGCGAAAATGCGTTTTATGCATAGTTCTCCGTAGCTTTTTGTCGCTAACGGCACTGCTTTTTCTGGCAAATGCTTTTAGCTAAAAGAACTGAGACTAGCCACCACGGCTATGACAAACGTTTCTTAAAAATTTCAATTTTCTAGCTTTTCTGTTCCTGAGCTAGCAGTTCACCTGCCGAAAACTTTGACGGGCTTGCACGTGGGAACCACGCGGTAAGAGCGCCCATTTTGTGGATGGGGGCCATATGTGCATGTAGATTAAGTTCCCAAATCTTAAGCTTTGTTGCTTTTGTAAGTTTCGAGATGAAAAATCGGTACAGAGCATACACACACACACGCACAGACACAAATAACTCCTTCACAATATGCGTTTTTGCAGTGCACAGATGCAACTTAGTCGACAGCGCAGTGGCTGCCGGTACGAAGATATATTTTTTGCACAGTTCCCCGCAGGTTTTTGTTGCTAATAGCATTGTCATCTCCCGCAGATGCTTCTGACTAAGAGAATTTAGAGTAGCCACCATAACTGCTAGAAATTATTTCAATGACTCCCAATTAGTGTCCAAAAAACTCAGCATACTAGATGCTTCGGTTGTGGGATTACGTCAAATTCCATGTGTTCGTACATGAGTGGTAATGTGAATGCTGTCTTCTAGTGTGCC